ACTAGCTGGTCTAGTGGCTAACGCGACGGGCTGGAGTTTTGAGACTCTATGACCGCGGGTTCAATCCCGGCCGGGGGTATGGAAGATACGTGGTGTCTCTCACGAAGGTAAGTCACGGGGAATGTAGTACTTCTGTTCGTTATTTAAGGCACATTTGAACACTATTCTATCACGTACACTAATAATAATAATAAAAATAATAATCTCCACAAGTCCATGTTGCAACTTATGCAGACCATAGCTGACATCAGTGACATACTACATAGACAACCCTTGGTTATGCAGAGCATTTCCGATAAATTAGATTAATTTTGTCCCCAGGATGCTACCCACACCAGTCGACTAATAGCAAGGTACCTATTTTACTGCTAAGTGAACAGGAACAGCAGATGTCTTAAGGAAACACGCCCAAATGTTTTCTCCTGTACCGGGGATCGAACCACGGACCTCAACGTGTGAGCTTAGTGCGCTACCAACCGTAGATCACTGCACATACTGTCAAGTACACTCGTAGACTCTGTTCAGTGACACCCGACTTGTCGCCATTACTCGTTGATGAAGATTCACTCGCAAGCAGTGTGTGTTGTTTGAAGTTGATAAACTTAACAGAGTAGACTACCGACACTGCGTCGGTCGATGGGGTCACTGAGCTTGCGTGTCAACACGGTGTGACCACTGCCTCACTTCTCTGCCTGATTCGAAGGTTTTTCTAAACTTAATTCATCTTGCTAGTTATACCATTAGGCCGAGGACTTGGCTAACTATATTATCTAGTATATTTTAAAATAGGAATTTCCTCAGGAAACACCTTGCTGAGATTTGTCGTCTTGATCTCAGTTGAGAAGAAGCTAAGGCATTGGTGCCACGTCCTCATAAGAGCTGGTAAGCATTGCTCACCCCCCCCCCTTCACTTGTGTTGTAGAGAGGGGGTTGCAGCTCCCTCTTTCCCCTCATTGGGGGTTAATTCCTCCACATTGAAGGTAATTCTCTCCCCTCGGTGAACAATGCCTGTTTGCCAACGAGCCAGCCATTCGTTTGGTCTCAAGTGGTGGTTCATGGTACTTAAGTCACACTATTCACAGCGTGAATATGAAGATTAAACAGTGTCGGAGATCAACGCGATGAATACTAGCATGATTTATAGCGAGCAACACACACACACACACACACACACACACACACACACACACACACACACACACACACACACACACACACACACACACACACACACACACACGAACCATACATATTTTTAAGACGAGGTTTGATAAAGCTCATGGAGCAGGGAGAGAGGACCTAGTAGCAATCAGTGAAGAGGCGGGGCCAAGAGCTATGAATTGGCCCCTGCAACCACCTGCCTACTAGAGTAGCCAGCTACTAACACACTGAAATTAGAGTTGATCACACACGGGTACCACTGCAATATTGCAGTGCCGGATGCACAATGTACATTGCAGTGATACCCACCTTTTAATGCCAACAGTGTTGATATTGATTATGAACTAAAGTGAGTAGGGAAACTATACCTACTAGACAAGTGTTATTGTATTTAATAAACTGTGCACTCAGCTCACACACTGAGGTCTGTGGTTTGATCCCCGGTACGGATGGATACATTAGGACGTGTTTCCTTAAGACATCTGCTGTCCCTGTTTACCTAGCTGTAAAATAGGTACCTGAGTGTTAGTCGACTGGTGTGGGTCGCATCCTGGGGGGAAAAAATTGACCTAACTTGCGGGAAATGCTCAGCATAACAAGCGACTTTCTATATAGTAGTATGTCACTGATGTCAGCTAGGTCTGTATACCTTGTAGAAATAAATATTATTATTATTATTATTACAAAAGTTAATCTTCAGTGGGACTCTCATACTCAAATCAATGTAAAAATCTATTTCGTTTTCTCACTATTTACGAAACTATAAAGAGGTACTATTGTATCTTGTAAAAAAAACAGTGTATTTGAAGATACATCATACATTATGTCCATAAGGAATGTGCTAAAACAGAGACTTAACTGATTCGCGGAGGCCGCCAGTAAATCGCACAGTTTTGTTAATCTGATAACTTGCGCAGGAGATTTTCCGGATCATGTCTTAAGAGCTGCGTTGGACATTTGCTCAGTGTTGTGGCCTTCAACCTGTGGAAATACCTGCTGGACCCACCCCCTTGGAACTATATAACTTTATGCACTAGTGAATCCTACGGGGTTAAAGGCTCTACTTCTGTGGCACAGTCAGGGAGGTGATTACACAGTGTTTGGAGCTTTTCGATCATCTTTTGTGGTGTTTATAGCTTTGTGTTGTGTTGTTATTCTGTCTTTCATTGCTCACTACAACCACTAGTAATTAGCCTTATTTCTCAACTAGTTTTTTCCTCATGTTATTCTCTGGTTAATTTGGGTTTTGATTGTAGAGGTTTAATAAGTGTTCTTCGTTTTCATTTCCCATGTTTATGTTTTTCACACTGGGGGAAGATGGAAGAGGTTATCATCACTTGGGGACTTGTCAAGACAAGTATTTCGAAGGAGCGAGAAGTTGTATTACGCTTTGTGTGTTGTGTGTTGTGTGTTGTTTTGTGTGTGTGTGTGTGTGTGTGTTTCTGTACGTACTCGCCTATTTGTGGTTACAGGGTCGAGTCATAGCTTCTGGCCCCGCCTCTTCGCTGGTCGCTACTAGATCCACTCTCTGTTCCATGAGCTTTATCATACCTCTTCTTAAAGCTATGTATGGATCCTGCATCCGCAACATCACTCTCCAGATTATTCCACTTCTTGACAGCTCTATGACTGAAGAAATACTTCCTAACACCTCTGTGATTCATCTGAGATTTCAACTTCAAGTTGTGACCCCTTGTTGCTGTGTCCGATCTCTGGAACATTGTCACTATCCACCTTGTCAATTCCTCTCAGTATTTTATACGTCGTTATCATGTCCCCCTTATCCTTCCTGTCCTCCAATGTCTTTAGGTCGATTTCCCTTAACTTCTTCTCGTAGGACATACCCCTTAGCTGGGGGACTGTTCATGTTGCAGACCTTTCCACTTTAATTTCTTGACGTGCTTGACCAGATGTGGGTTACATACTGGTGCTGCATACTCCAGTATGGGCCCTGACGTACACGGTGTACAGTGTCTTGAATGACTCCTTACTCAGGTGTTGGAACGCTATTCTTATGTATGGCAGGCGCCCATATGCTGCAGCAGTTGTTTGGTTGATGTGTGCCTCAGATGTGCTCGGTATGATACTCGGCCCAACATCCTCTTCCTTGAGTGAAGTTTGCAGCCTTCCCCCCCCCTCCTGGTCTGCACTCCGTATGCGGTCTTCTTTGACCTTCCCTCTTTCTCGCACCTGGCACACTCCCCACAGGGTGCCACACTCCCCCACAGGGTGCCACACTCCCCCACAGGGTACCACACTCCCCCACAGGGTGCCCCACACCCCCACAGGGTGCCCCACACCCCCACAGGGTACCCCACACCCCCACAGGGTGCCAAACACCCCCACCGGATGCCATACTCCCCCACAGGGCACCACACTCCCCACACTGTGCTTGTCGAAGAACCCAGCATCTCTGTCGACGTTCGGGATATTTTCCCTTTCAACTAAATTTGCTGAGGAATAGACAAACATGCAACATCTGGGTATCTTTACTTTAGACCTTTCGCCATCCAGTGGCTTTATCAATACAAATTCCAGGACATAACTGGAAGACAGTAGAACTGTATACCAAAGATGAGGTAAACAGTCCCTCAGCTTTGGAGTTAGTGTACCGTAGTCGTGATGAGTTTACAGTATAGATGCCCAGTATTGCATATTTGTCTAATTCTCCATCTTGTCGGTACTGTATACCGGTCATGGACCGGACCGCCGGGGTGTTGACCCTGGAGCACCCACCAGGTTGAACAAGGCCGATAACAGGCAAGGAATCGTGGATACGGATTGTGGAATGTAAAAAAAAAAAATCGATCTCAAATATTTTTACGTCATTATTTATGTAATACGAGAGTGAAATGACGAAGACACTGGCGAATTGGCGGTAATTTGTAAATATGATTGTCGCTGAAGGTTTTAAAAGTTAAATAGTTCAGTGCTGCTTTTATAATAATAATAATAATAATAATAATAATAGTCAAACGGTTCTAGTGTTTGTAAATATAACTGAGGTTTGTCTCGCCGTTTGTACACCAAAAGATGTTTTTATCTCCAAACCATACCACGGGCGGGATTGAACCCGCGGTCAGAGTCTCAAAACTCCAGACCGTCGCGTTAGCCACGGTCTGGAGACTCTCTGACCGCGGGTTCAATCCCGCCCGTGGTATGGTTTGTTTGCAATCGTGTCATTACGATCTCGTGAGTCATGTGTATATCTCGTTATGTCCACCGAGGAAGCTACCCTTAACCTAACCTTTCCTATAACTGCCCTAAACTGTATACAAGTGTAGTATCACCATACCATTTTTACACTGTTGATTTAATTCCTCTTTGAGAAGCTAAAGTATTCTTGATATTAACGTACTAGTGAATTACAGCTCGATCGCTTGCGCTCATCTCTCACTGAGGTCCGGAGTTCGAATCTCCGGTTCGGCTGGTAAACATTAGGACGTGTATCCATAAGACACCCGCTGTTCCTGTTCACCCATCAGTGTAAAATGTATACCTGGGTGTTAGTCGACTGGTGTGGGTCGCATCCTGGGATAAAATTGACCTAATCTGCGAGAAATGCTCTGCATAACAAGCGAATTCTGTAGTGTCATAGATGTCAGCTAGGTCTGTATACCTTGTATATGATATGTACTAGTAGAAATAGATATGATTATTATCTTCAGTCTATAGTTCCTTTATACTTGGATTGGACAGTAAGGGGAAGTTCTTGGGTGTAAGTAGGGTCTGCCGAGCATGGGCTGGTAGGCCTAATGTGGTGTTTCAGTAATCTTAAATGTTCTTTGAAGTGTGTAGAAGAGTTAGGTCTTAAACTTAAGTGATTTGTTTCTTTTCAGTGTGGTCCGTGACTGGTGTGGCTGGTCGCTCCACGGACCTACCCTGCTACCTCACTCCCCGCACCCCGGGCGACGAGCCGAAGTTGATCCTCTGGTACAAGGAGACTGTCCGGAGTCCGCTCTTCAGGTGAGAAATGTGAGGCGGCAGCAGCAGCAGCAGCAGCAGCAGCAGCAGCAGCAGCAGCAGTAGTAGTAGTAGTAGTAGTAGTAGTAGTAGTAGTAGTAGCAGTAGCAGTAGTAGCAGCAGTAGTGGCAACTGGGAAAGATAGATCATAGGTGACCCACGAGGTCTTGGGTAAAGTTATCTCCTTGGCAAGCAAGAATTTTGGGCAGCTTAAATAATAGGTGAACAGGTGCACGAGTATGTGTGTAGTTGTGAATTAGACCTATCTAGCATGGGCCAGTAGGCCTGCTGCAATGTTCTTCCATTTTTATATCCTTAAAGTAACATTCAAGCTATCTTTAATTTTGATAAATGAGACACTTGGGCAATATTTGTGTATCTTTATTCTGGAATCCTTTCGCCAGCCTGTGGTTTCTTTAGTCCACTGCAGAGAAAGGTAGAAGTTGATGGGGCGTTTGAGGTAATCAGTCCCTCGGCCTGGAGTCTGTGTTCAGTCCATCAGTCTTGATAGCAGTGCAGCATATTCGTGGAGATGGGGCTTGTATACTGTTGACAGGTGACGTGGAGCAGTGGTAGGCAGAGTTACCATTGGAGGAACCCACTAGTAGAATAAAATCTTGTTAGCAGTATACAGTACATGTCCCATTCCCACGAAGATGGTGTACTTTTATCAAGATTGATGACCTAAACACACAGACTCCAGGCCGAGAGACTGAGTGCCTCAAACTCCTCATCTTCCACCGTTCTCTGCACTGGACTGAAGAAAGCACTGGCTGGCGATACGTTTCCATAATAAAGATTCCCAAATGTTACATTAATGTCTCATTCTTCAACTATAATTATGCCCTGGGGGGCTCATTGTCAACTCATAATTGAGTAGTAATGTGTGCAGAAAGAAAAGAACTTTATCTACGGTTTGTGTTGCATCCCTTGCCTGGAAGTTTCATTCCATTATTTTGATGAGAAGGTGCGCGTTAATTCTTCGTGTTTGGGTATATTTAGTATCTCGAGATGTGACCAGGAGTCAGTGAATAATAGCATTTCAGCTTCTTAGTAGACGGAGGATCAAGCTTCCACCACTCTATACACTGTATGGCCCCTCACGGATTTGGTGCTTCTCATCAAGCAAGTAAATTGAAAGGTTTAATGAGATCTCCGTTTTCTGTGAGGGGGAAAAATGAATGTTTAAGAGTTTTGAGTCTGTCTTCGTACGTTGTTTGCTATTGATCTCAGCAGTTCAGTTGTCCTCCTCTCCACTCTAATCTGCTTTCAACTTTTAGGCTATTTAGTCCAGTAAGGCAGTGCTGCAGCATTTCTTAGCTGCTAGCTAAGAAATGCTAGAAAAGCCAGTGACACTGGCTTTGAAAGTGGAAATGCTAGGTATGTTTCCTTACACCTGTTGCACCTGTTCACCTAGCAGTAAGTAGGTACCTGGGTGTAAGTCGACTGAGAAATGGTCGGGTGATACTGACAACATGTGGAGAAAGATACTTATGTACAGTTCAGGACACTTATTAAAGGAAACGTTTCGCGACAAGTGGCGAAACGTTTAAGGAAACGCGTCCTAATGGTTTCCACCCGTACCGGGGATCGAACCAGCTGAGTGCGCTTACGGGACATAGAGAAATACGACACACACACACACACACACACACACACACACACACACACACACACACACACACACACACACACACACACACACACACACACACACATATATATATATATATATATATATATATATATATATATATATATGAGAGAGAGGGAGACAGGTACATATATAGAGGTATTGCTAGGAAGCGTAATAAACATTTTAAAAGTTACGTGTTTTTCTGGTTGAAAAGCAATTTTTCATCAGGCGACACAACAAAGCGGTGTCCACTAGACCATCCCGCTTTGAAAAATGACTCAAACCCTCTGCCTACTGTAGTTGTGGAATTTACAATGACCACCAAGCATGATCCGCTTAGGTTTTTACAACCATAGACAGAGACAAAAAAAAAATTACTGTATACTATTTCGATCTCTATCTGAGGGCCTCGTCAGTAGTATAACGGAGAGAGGACGTGAAATTTACACGGGCGTGGAGAATGGTCATGTCATGTAGGATGAGTCAGGTCACCTGCACGTGTTATAATAATGATAATAATAATAATATAATAATGATAAGAATAATAATAAGAGTAATGGTAGAATTACCGTCAATGTTACGTAAAGACACGTGTACAGTTAGTGTGTCACTGCAATAAGACACGTGTGCGAGAAAGTGAATAAGACATGTGTGCCAAAAAATTACTATTTTGTATGCATAGTGCAAATTTTTGCAAAGACAGTTGAAAGAACTCGTCCAGAATTGCATTTAGAACTGTTCAATTCTAGATGTAACTTTACAACGTCATTTAGAGTCTCACTCTAGAGAGGAACTCACTAGAGCTGACTGCACTCCAGTTAACCTTCAGGTGACCCCTAGCTAGGTGCCACACTCATTAGTGCCAAGTAGAACTAGTCGACGGGTCATTAGGTGTTAACAGTTGGTGGTAACAGTTGGAGACGGGGTTAGTAACCTCTTGCTCCCAGCATTTTAAGTCGACACGCATGATTTACGGAGGAAAGATTCTCTTCCATTTATCTGTTTCTGTTTGTGAAACAAAAATTATATTCAACATCCTATTTATTTATTGCTAGTTTAAGCAGACTATGTTTCTGGATGCATACGTGAAAGGGAGTCTTCAACAGTTTAACGTAATTCCTTTTTCAGTAATGCACGTATATCTATGCCTGGCTTCCTTAAGCTTTTGAAGCTTGAAAGAGACCAGAGAAGGTACTTTCCAAGCTACCACATGTGGAAACAGAGAGGAATACTCTGACCACTACAATACACGTACAACACCTGCGTTATTATTAAGATGCTTTCGTCAGCCAATGGTTCCATCGATGCTATACAGAGATTATTTAAAGGTGTTGGAACTGGACACGGTAGAAGATCAAGTAATCAGTCCCTCACGACAAGATGTATCGTACTTTATAACAGCTTCTCCAACTATGAGACCTGTTTACAATTACTGGGTGCATCGTCTCCTAAAAAGGCAGCCATTTTATTTTTTTTTGCGGGGGGGATGATTGGCAAGAACGGCACTAACACACGTGAAAAGATTTTAGGACGAATTATATAGCAAACGTAGGAATAAGTCGTGGCTGGAACAATTCACAAGTAACCCACAGTTCCATGGTTGGAACACTTCACAAGTAACCCACAGTTCCATGGTTGGAACACTTCACAAGTAACCCACAGTTCCATGGTTGGAACACTTCACAAGTAACCCACAGTTCCATGGTTGGAACACTTCACAAGTAACCAACAATTCCATGGTTGGAGCACTTCACAAGTAACCCACAGTTCAATGGTTGGAACACTTCACAAGTAACCCACAGTTCCATGGTTGGAACAATTCACAAGTAAATTACAATTCCATGGCTGGAACACTTCACAAGTAGCCCACAGTTCCATGGTTGGAACAATTCACAAGTAACCCACAGTTCCATGGTTGGAACAATCACAAATAACCCACAGTTCCATGGTTGGAATGATTCACAAGTAACCCACAATTCTGTTCTTGGAACAATTCACAAGTAACCCGCAATTCCATGGCTGGAACAATTCACAAGTAGCCCACAATAACGTGGATGAAACAATTCACAGCCAGCACAATACCATGACTGGAACAATTCAAAACCAGTACACAATACCGTGGTTGGAACAGTTCGCTACTAGCAGAGTACCGTGGTTGGAACAGTTCTCAACTAGCAGAGTACCGTGGTTGGAACACTTGTCAACTAGCAGAGTACCGTGGTTGGAACACTTGTCAACTAGCAGAGTACCGTGGTTGGAACACTTGTCAACTAGCAGAGTACCGTGGTTGGAACACTTGTCAACTAGCAGAGTACCGTGGTTGGAACACTTGTCAACTAGCAGAGTACCGTGGTTGGAACACTTGTCAACTAGCAGAGTACCGTGGTTGGAACACTTGTCAACTAGCAGAGTACCGTGGTTGGAACACTTGTCAACTAGCAGAGTACCGTGGTTGGAACACTTGTCAACTAGCAGAGTACCGTGGTTGGAACACTTGTCAACTAGCAGAGTACCGTGGTTGGAACACTTGTCAACTAGCAGAGTACCGTGGTTGGAACACTTGTCAACTAGCAGAGTACCGTGGTTGGAACACTTGTCAACTAGCAGAGTACCGTGGTTGGAACACTTGTCAACTAGCAGAGTACCGTGGTTGGAACACTTGTCAACTAGCAGAGTACCGTGGTTGGAACACTTGTCAACTAGCAGAGTACCGTGGTTGGAACACTTGTCAACTAGCAGAGTACCGTGGTTGGAACACTTGTCAACTAGCAGAGTACCGTGGTTGGAACACTTGTCAACTAGCAGAGTACCGTGGTTGGAACACTTGTCAACTGGCAGAGTACCGTGGTTGGAACACTTGTCAACTGGCAGAGTACCGTGGTTGGAACACTTGTCAACTGGCAGAGTACCGTGGTTGGAACACTTGTCAACTGGCAGAGTACCGTGGTTGGAACACTTGTCAACTAGCAGAGTACCGTGGTTGGAACACTTGTCAACTAGCAGAGTACCGTGGTTGGAACACTTGTCAACTAGCAGAGTACCGTGGTTGGAACACTTGTCAACTAGCAGAGTACCGTGGTTGGAACACTTGTCAACTAGCAGAGTACCGTGGTTGGAACACTTGTCAACTAGCAGAGTACCGTGGTTGGAACACTTGTCAACTAGCAGAGTACCGTGGTTGGAACACTTGTCAACTAGCAGAGTACCGTGGTTGGAACACTTGTCAACTAGCAGAGTACCGTGGTTGGAACACTTGTCAACTAGCAGAGTACCGTGGTTGGAAACACTTGTCAACTAGCAGAGTACCGTGGTTGGAACACTTGTCAACTAGCAGAGTACCGTGGTTGGAACACTTGTCAACTAGCAG